GGATTGGATTCAACGTTATCCTCAACTGCAAAATGTAATTATTCCATTTCCCAATCAAGTGGAGGATAAAGTTCGTTGGGTTGATTATAAGGGTGCTCGGGGGGATTTTCAGGTTACTGTGGCTTGGAAGACTCTACAGGAGGTTCATCCGGTTGTGCATTGGTATAAACTGGTATGGAACAAAGCTTTCATTCCAAAACATGCTCTTTGTATGTGGATGGCTTGCCAGAAGAAATTGCCTACTCAAGATCGTATCAATCAGTGGAAGCATGAACCACCGGATTTAAAGTGTGTTTTCTGTAACTTAGTGATTGAAACGCACAATCACTTATTTTTTGAATGCTCTTATTCTAGCAGTATTTGGGAAGGCATTAAAAGGGAGGTGGGTTTAACGTCTTATCTGAACAATTGGGAGGATATTCTTCACAGGGGTTCCGGTCAAAATTGGAACTCTTGGTCTACGGTTCAGAGACTTGGTTTATCGGCAACTGTTTATAATATCTGGAGGGAACGTAACAGGAAGTTCTTCGACAATTTCAATCATTCGGCGGATAAAGTTATTGCGATGATCAAGATGCAGATTCTTCACCGAATGGCCTGGAAGACCAGGAAGAAGATTATGAATTCCAATGACTTGTGAATTCGTGGGTGGTGCTCCTTCTTGGTTTTGGGTCTTTTGGGTCTTTCTTGCCTTTTGTATTTTGGCGGGTGGTGTTGTTTTGTTTTGGTGTATTTCCCTTTGTCATTTTTGGCTTCTTATGACTTGGTTTGTAAGTCAAAGTTGCCGTAGTTTCTCTTGCTGATTGCTTTGTATTGGTGAAGTTTTTTTTACTGTCTTTGTTCTGTGGAAGTCATCAAACGTGGCCTTCTCTTGTTTGAAGAACGATCGGGTTTGTCGCCAAGTTTGGAAAAAAGTGAGGTGTTTCTCAGGAATGTAGCAATGGAGGTCCAAACTCTTATACGTGACACTTTATCTTTTCGGCCAGGGGTTTTCCCTATACGTTACTTGGGTGTTCCTCTCTCTCCGGTTCGTCTGAAGGTACGTGATTTTAATCCCCTTATGTTAAAACTTAAATCTCGACTTTTAAACTGGAAGAATAAATTCCTATCCTATGGAGGGCGTTGACAACTAATTATCTCTATGCTTCACTCAATGCAAACATATTGGATGTCGGTATTCTTAGTACCGGCAACCACAATCCATGAAATAGAGCAGCTTTTTCATAATTTTTTATGGAATAAAGAAGAGGGTCAGATGGGTAAATGTCGAGTTGCTTGGGATACAGTTTGCTTGCCTATTCAAAGTGGGGGTCTTGGTATGAAAAGACTTGCGACTTGGAATAGGTGTCTTCTGTTTAAACATATTTGGGATAATCTAAAGGGAAAAAATACAATGTTGGTTTCTTGGATTCAGTCTCACTGTGTTCGGGGACGTAATTTCTGGGGTATCAAGAAGAGGAATGAGTGGTCATGGATTCTCCGAAGCCTTTTAGACTTAAGATCTCATTGCCGGAGATTCTTTATCTACAATGTGGGAAATGGTTTATCTACACATGCTTGGGAAGATACATGGAGCGAATCGGGTCCTCTCATTCAATCCCTGACTTATAGATTCATTAATGGACAGGGATTTCACAATAACTCCACGGTATCTGATGTAATGCAACGATTTGGTACYAATTGGCCGGTGGATTGGATTCAACAATATCCTCAGCTGCAGAGTGTTCTGATTTCGTTTCCCAGTCAAGTGGAGGATAAGGTCAGATGGCTTGATAATAATCTTTCACGGGGTGACTTTGAGGTAAAATTGGCTTGGAATACTATCAAAGAGGTGAAGCCGGTTGTGCATTGGTATAAACTTATTTGGAATAAAGCATATGTTCCTAAACATGCTCTTTGCATGTGGATGGCGTGTCAGAAGAAACTGCCAACTCAAGA